TTCAAATTCATGGCCTCTTTATCTTTAATTTTTGATATATAAATAAAAATATACATGTACATGTTCCTATAATATATATGTTCCTATAATATATTTTCTAAATATATAAATAGAATTTTCTCAGTCTGTACAATATTACTTGTAGGTAAATGTTTTCAGAGCTGACTATTTGGTATCAGATAGCCAGTGTATGTGTGTGGGATCTTCCCTGGAAAAGACTATTTCTCTGGCTTTCAGCATTCTGTTGTTGCCTCTAGTTCTTTGTCTAAGCTTAGAGCCCCATGAGATTTCCTCCTTCCATGTTAGTCTATTGGTGTCATCCTTATTTAGGTTTTGTTGAAGCAGCCATGTTGATATCTCTACATGGCTGTTTCTTCTCTGATTTTTCTAGACACAATCTCAAAACCATTTTCCTGTGCCTCTGTGTCTTCCAATCTTTCAGCCTCCTTGTTTGCTATTATCCCCAAGCTTTAAGTACAGGGGTTGTGGGCTGGGTACCACATGATCACTTTCTCTCTGCTTTTTAGTTATTTGTGGTTTTCTGTAATGGTCTCCATCTGTCGCAAAAAGAAGATTCTTTGATGAAGTGTGAGACCTATATTTATCTGTGGGTGTAAGAAAAAAATATTTAAAATGTAGCTAGGAATTGTGCTGGTTTAGTAAAGTGGTTGTTGTAGCTTTTCCTCCAAGAACCCTGACCACTAGCCCCAGGGAGTTGGTTAGGTTTCTTGTACCAGAAAAGATTTTCTTCTTGTTGAGTGAGCCTTAAGTCCAATTGGAGAGCTGTTGGTTACCACCAAGGTACTCATGCCACTATTGCACCCTTAGGGTTATTGTGATGCATTGGTCATTTTTGCAGCTCATAAGCATATAACTGGGTAAAACCATTGGTCTTCTTTTTTTGACATTTGCTTCTAGTACTGTGAGGTTCATCCTTACAAAGTAGGCTTTTAGCTCACATTCAGCATGGATCATCTGGGTCCTGTGTTTGAAGTACATGGCCTTGTACCTTCAACCTCATGGAGGCAACCAAAGACAACAGCAATAGTTGATAAGTTTGTGGGAGCCTCTTGGATAATCCTGGTCACCAATATCATTTATCTCTTAGTAAATCATTTCTGTAGTAAGAAGTTCAGCTTTGAATTTATGAACTACATCCAGTGATAGATCGTTAAATCTAAGCCAAGTCCTGGGCACATTAGTTAGTCCAGAAGCTAAGACATTTATCTTTGTTAGCACTGAGGAACTTTCAAACTGTTGTACATGCTATAGTAAACAAGCATCATACATAGGAAACAGGCACACTGACTTCCACACTTTGACTCTCTTTGGTTTAGCTGTAGATCAGGACAACAGTCTTTCCCAGCAAAGTAAGTGTTTCTCTTATCAATTAGGGGCTGTTTCCAACTGTTTCTAGATTTTTAAAAATCTATTATCCCTTAGACTTACTGACCTCTATCTATATTTCTGTGGATTGCGGGAATCTGAGTTACCACATCCCATTTGCCGTTAGCATGACATCAACATTCGCATTTGGAAGAGTAATTTATGAGCGGGAAAGAATAAGGCACGGAGGAAAGGGAGATGAGTATAACCAACCCCTGATGCTGCTGCTGGAGGGGAAAGAGGCCTTTTGGAGGATGCTCAGGAGAAATGAATAGAACTGTTGGGTTGTGCTAGGACAGATGGGTGGTAGCCAAGACTGGCAAATGGAAGACAGAGAGGCCAGTAACACACAGATAGCCCAAGGAATTCATGCCAGGAATAGGGGAATTTAGGCAAAGTGAATAAGTAAGAAAGAGAGCAAATTGTTCAAGTATCATGTCCCAGTTTTGACGGGAAACCCAAAAGGGGATCACACCAAGAGCTTATCCTGGGTACCCTATTCTTTTTGTAGGTTGTCTTTAATCCTACCCTTCCCACTCCTTTTCTAGTTTCTTCTCTTCTTCCACCCCCCCCCCCCACTTACTGAAACATTGCCACATGGAAGATTTATATGATGTCATCATCACCTCAACCATCAGTAAAAACATAATGCAATTATTTTAATAAACAAGAAAAACAAAGGAAATATGACTAAGTCCAGGGAAAACCAGGCAAGAGCCCAAATCATTGCGTCTCCAGGAAAGCAGCTGAAGGAATACCCTCTGATCATATCCAACACCACCTCATGGAGCCTGGATGATGTCTTGTAGTTGAAAACTATTTTTCCAAGATATCGCAAGGGAGTAAAAGCACTATTTAAAAAACCCCATTCTCCAAAGCATCTTAAGGTCTACAGCAAGACCTTTTTTATTTCTTTGCTTTCATTCCTTGTTTTAGTTCTGTTCCAAGAAATACAAAAAAAATTATCTTTTGGGATTTCCATTTTCTGAGTGTTTCTTACTAGCACATACTACACATGGGTTAAATAAATGGTGTGAGGAGCATGGCTGGAAGCATTGCAAACAATAGAAGAAGGGACATGCTGTCCTAATGTGAGTTGGGAGTTTTGAATGCCTATGGGCTTGCCTAGTAGAATAGCAGTCATGAAACATAATCCTAAAGAAATTCAATACCTATGTCTGCCTGACTTTAGCTGTGAAAAGTTGACTTTAGCTCTTTCTCTTTGGGGAATGGCACAACATTACCACTGTAGGAAGTACGTATAAAGTTTAAGGACTACTGAGTTCTGACTTAGTTTCTCCTCCTTAAATTACATAATTATAAAATGCTCATTGTGTATAATGTTGTTTGTATGTATGTTTTCAGATCTGTCCATTTGGTATTGGATTGATGTGCCCTTCCCCAGGGAAGACTATTTCTCTTGCTCTCAGCCATCCTAAGTTGCTTGTAGTTCTTTATATAATGGTTGAAGCCTAGTGAGTTTCTGCCTACCCTACCCCTCATCCCTGACCCTTGTTCATGTTGACATGTCTATTCGTGTCATCCTTGTTCCAGTCATATTTAATCAGCCATATTGATAAGTCTTCATGTGTGTAGCTTTTCTGACATTTCTAGGAGACACACTATCACAATAACTCCCTTTGGCTCTGCCTCTTAAAGTCTTTCCATTCCTCTTGTCTGTAGTGTCCCTTGATCCCCAAATGCAGGAGTTGTGACGTACATGCATGCCTTGGAAGTGGCCTATACCATGAATTAATCTCTACATTGTGATCATTTGTGGTTTGGGGGATGGTCTCCATTCACTGTAATGAAGAGCTGCTTTGACAAAAATGGTAGCTACAATTATCTATGGGTATAAGGATAAGATTTAGGACATCGTAAGGAGTTGTAGAACATGGTGGTAGTAGATTCTTTTCTAAGATCTTTGAACTTACCAGATCCAGGGAAGCTCGCTAAATTTCCAGTACCAAGAATAATTTCCCTCTGGAAGTCCAATTAGACAGCTGTTGATTGCCACTGATATTTAAGTGACTCTTCTTGTGCCATTTTGTATATCTTGCCATGCTGGTAGTTGCTGCAATGTTGCAGCTTGGTAGGACTATTTAGTTCAATGACTCTCAATTTGTGTGTCATGTTCCCTTGGGGGTTGAATGACCCTTTCACAGGGATCATGCAAGACCATCAGAAAGCATAGATATTATATTATAATTAATAACAGTAACAAAATTGCAATTATGAAGTAGCAACAAAAATAATTTTATGGTTGGGGATCACCACAACATGAAGAACTGTATTAAACTGTCAATCTGCCACAGCATTAGGAAGGTAAGAACCATTAGTTTAATTGCTTCATTTCCTTGGCAGTTTGCATAGTATTCTGGAACCATGGAAGCTAGACCAGAGGAAAGAGGCTTTCAGTGCAGATTCAACTTGACTCTTCCAAGTTGTATGCCATAGGTGTGTGGTGCCTTCATCAATGGGGAACTACATTCTACCCTTGAGTAACAACTAAGAGTTACATCAATAATATGATGTTTGGGGAGTCATGTTTTAACAGACCTTCAATTCTGTGTGCAAATACATATATAATATTATTTAGTGATTTGAATTCAGTGTCTTAGTTAGGGTTTCTATTGTTGTGATGAAATACCATGACCAAAAGCAACTTGGGGGGAAAGAGTTTAGTTTGCTCACACTTCTGTAAGACAACTCATTGTCACATGCAGCAGGGCAGGAACTCAAAGCAGGGACCTGGAGGCAGGAGTTGATGCAGAAGCCGTGGAGGAGTGCTGCTTATGGGCTTGCTCCTCATGATTCACTCAGCCCACTTATAGAACCCAGACTGTGAGCCCAGAGCTTGCACCACCCACAGTGGCCTGGCACCATTCCCATTTATTACTAATTAAGAAAATGCTCTACAGTCTGCCTACAGCTGAATCTTATGGAGTCATTTTATTAATTGAGGTTCTTTCTGGTATTTTTTTTGTTAGATTGACATAAAATTGTCCAGTATGGGCATCAGTTGGATAACCCATTATTATCATAATGATATAGGAGTAGAGAGGGGGATTCAATTCTATTGATTAAGGGACACAAAAGAGAAATTAATACACACTATCATTTACAGAAGCTTTATGATGTCTTCTATCCTTAAAATTCTTTTAACTTTTACTTTTTAAACTTTCTTGTCACTTTTTCACCTTTTCTTTTAAATAATTATGGTTGCTATGAACATATGCCGAAACATACATAACTGAACTTCCTGCCATCATGAGGACCAGGCAGCCTGGAGACACCTATGCAAGGCTCAGAGGTTCAAGGAATTCTTCACCATCCAGGGCATAACTCTCAAAGCAAAGAATTATCAGCATCAGTGTGTTTATCTTGAAGAAATAATTCCAGTGAAATTGAAGAAATGAGAATAGTGTCAACATAGAGGCTTCATGCAGATATTGTGTGTTTTCAAAGCAGTAGGATTTTACTTAATGGCAAAGGTATCTCAAATGTATACTGGTGTCCTTTTGGCAACTAGAAACACCATGATAATAATCAAATCAGTCCCTGCCATCATCTGCCCTTTGGTATGATGTTCTCTCTTTGTGCTTGCTCCCCAGAGCGTACATGAGTGTAAAGGAGCTGAAGGAGGCCTTGCACCTCAACAGTACTCATTTCCTCAATGTCTACTTCGCCAGCTCAGTTCGGGAGGAACTTGCGGGTGCTGCCACATGGCCTTGGGACAAAGAAGCCGTCAGTCACTTGGGTAAGTGACATGAACTATGATGGATAAAAGCAAGGATATTTGAGAAGGGTTTGTGACAGTGAGTTGAGGGTGGCAAGAAATACGTAGTCAGTGAATGAACTGCTTTACGTTGAGAATGACAGTTGGGTGAGTCTATAAAAATATTTCAAAGCAAAAACTAAGAGGTTCTAGATCAAATGCTCTAAACTGACTCTATAATCTAGAGATAGACCATTCCTGATGGCATGGGCCTTTACTAATTACTAAGGATATTGGTTCAAAATCATCACATTTCAAGGGCAAGCCTGGGCTACTTATAGAGCTTGTATCACCAAATAAAAAGTTAAATGAAAGATCACAGTGCATTCATGAACTTTCAGCCACTACTGATGACTGCATTGGGTCTGAATAAGAATGGGCTCACAACAGTCATACAAGTCTAGAAGAAGAATTCAGGGGGTTCTATCTTTCACTCTTAGATAGATTCAGGGAAAGGTGAGTCATTGCCTTTAGTTGTATATTTACTGGTGATACAACCAGGCTCCAAAGAGTAGTCACAATCCAATGGTCACAAAGGTAACCATGGTTAAGATAAATGGGTCACAAAACAGTCATGAGTCTGGGATAGGGACAGGTAGTTGGTGGGGCTATTAGGGATCTGAGGGATTCAAGAAAGAGTATGGGGAGTAAGTAGCTAGGATGTAGCCTATACAGGTACAGAATTACCAAAGAGCTAACTTTATATATTTAAAAAAAAGAGGGCTTGTACAATGCCAGGCATGGATAGTTGAGACAATAAATATGAAATATCACTATTTCAATTTTACCTTGGACTACAGGGTGAGATCCAATTTCAAAAAACAAATAAAATTAAAAAAAAAAACCCTAAAAACTAAACTGCAAGATATTCATCAGTATGGATATAGGATAGGGCCATTTCAGGCTCCCTCTCCTCAGCTGCCCAAGGAACGAGCTGGGGATATCTCCATGGATACCTGGGAACCCCTCTAGAGTCAAGTCTCTTGCCAACCCTAAAATGGCTCCCTTAATAAAGATATCTTCTTCCCTGCTCCAATATCCACCCTTCCTCCATCCCAACCATCCCATTCCCCCAGGGTCTCCCCATCCTCCCCTCCTCACTTTTCTCTCCCCATCTCCCTTTACCCTCATCCTACCCCCACCCCCAAGATCCCAATTTTTACCTGGCAATCTAGTCTACTTCCAATATCCAGGAGGATAACTATATGTTTTTCTTTGTGTTCACCTTCTTATTTAGCTTCTCTAGGATCACAAATTATAGGCGCACTGACATTTATTTATATATAGAATCCACTTATGAGTGAGTACATACCAAATAACCCTGCATGCAAATAAATTGCTCAGGTAAGGTCCAATTTGCTGGATCCATTTTTAGTCTTAGATGGGCCTAAAAGGAAAAATATTACCAAGATGTTCAAACATGTTTGGTAGTGCTGTGTCAGGAAGCAGGCAGGTCTCTTGCTTATCTCAGACTCTCAAGGAGACTCTAGGAAATTCAGACAGGTTTAAGTCACATTTCCAGGATGGCTAAATAAACTGGAGGGACACTGTGTTCTTCATGAAAGCCAGTGTGAATTATTGTAACCTTGCTGGTGACAGTGAACGTAGAGTGGATTGGAGTTGGAGTGATTTGAATTGCTTCATCTAAACAACAGTAGCAGAGAGGCCACAGAGCACGGTCACTGTTTTGACAGATGTGTGGAGGGCTCTAGCAGCAAGGCACACTCAGCAGGCACTGGCTCTCAACCTCAAATCTCAAAAAGTGATTCTTTTTGTCCTTATGGGAATAAATCTGCCCATTTGACAAGAATTGTTGGGATGGAGTAGACTATTGAATATCTTTTAATTTTATTAGATATGAAAACATAGTTAAGATTCATTCAATAATGCAAAAGTAGATAAGATACTTAAACATTAACTGCTTGATGATATCAGACAGATAAGATACTTAAACATTAACTGCTTGATGATATCAGACCTGGAGTTTGCTTCAGAGTCACCAGCAAGATAGAATTCAGGCCCAAGACCCAGGAAAACAGAAAGCTCGGAAGTGGGCCTGATGTCCTATTCATGATTTTTCTCTTAGAATATTTGCTAATTATTTAAGTATGCATTCTTGGAGCCAAGATCTAGAAACTGAGTTCAAAATGACTTCTAAGAGATTAAAAAGTAGAACAGTGGCTTCAAAAGTCCCGTGACAGAAGGGAAAGGAAATGAAGTTGCTGTTCTATCGAGGAGAAGGAGCTATGAAGATTCTCTACACTGGTGCAGAGAGTCCTGGTTACACTGTACTTAAAGTCCAACCAGAAACACTCAATTGATATTTACAGCAAACCCTCCCGCCTATGTACTGATTGCCCAACCAAAGGAAAAGATCTTCCGAGGAAGACAATACTATCAGGAGCACCTTATACAATTTTATGTACAATATCCAGCAGTCAATATAAAATCATTTGATATTTTCAGGAAATACAGTCAAATGACAGAAAATAAAATCAATTTAACAACAAAAACAAGACAGTATGACCCATAGATTATTTAGGTATTAGAGATTTTAGACACTGGACTACTACATACATACACATGTGCATATATATATGTATGTATAATTGGCTAATATGTAAAAATATACAAAAGCTAGGGATCTGGTTAGGAGATCTAAATCTAGAGGAAATCGTCAAGTGAAAATTTTAGAGCTAAAAAGTAGTACTAGTAATTTAAACTTAAAAATTAGTAGAAGGATAATGATAAAGAATTAAAGACCTAAAAGAAAAGTCTATAAATTGAAACTTAGAGAGGAAAATGATAAAAAGATAATAAAACATCTTGAGGAATATTTAATTGATTAGATTATTTAATTAAAAATTGCTAGAAATAGTGTTCAAAGAGATAATGGTTGACTACTTTCCAAACAGAGAAAAGTTATCAATTTGCAGATCAAATATATTTGTAAATTCCCAGTAAAATAGGTTCAAAGAAGACTGTGTCTAGGCCATGTAAAAATGATTAAAACCAGAGACAAAGAGAAAAACCTTAAAGTAAAACAGTGGAAAAAAAATTGTTAACTGAAAAGTATGATAATAAGATGTGATATCTCATCAGCAAAAATTACATGACAAGAAATGTTATGTATTATGAGGTCATTTAAATGTTAAGGAAAATAATTAACTTAAAACTCTAAATTTGACAGAAATATTTGAAACGAAGAAAATGTAAAATATTTTCAGACAAATAAAATCAGAGATAACTTATACCAGTGCTGAAAGACATCCTGAAAAAGGTTAGGAAGCAATAGGAAAACAAGTTTGCTTAGAGACAGTGAGATATAGAAAGTAATGGATGATGCTAGAGAAAATAAAAAGATCATTAGCATACAGCAATGCCTTTACCTTTATATATATGTAGAATTAAAATATAACCAAAATATTACAAAAGACAAAAATAGCAGGACAGGAAATTAAAGCATTTAAAGACCCCCATTTCTCTTTGTTCAGACAAAGCACTGATTTTACACATTCATTTAGGTATAACATTAAAAGCCATGTTGTAATGTATAGATTTTTTTCTGTCTAAAGATCGGTTGATTAGTAAGATAACAGCGAATGAACAAAGTGAGGCTGCAGTCATGGCTCAGAGGTTAAGAATGCAGGCTGCTCCACCGCAGAGGACCCAGGTCCAGGTTCCAGCACTCACGTCCAGTCCTATCAACAACCTGTAGTTCCAACTCCTGGGATTCTGACACCCTCTCCTGGACTCTGTGGGTACCCACACTCACTGCAAATAAACACACACACACACACACACACACACACACACACACACACACACACAAATTTAAAATATGTAAAAGAAAGGAACCTCTGAAAAAGAAAACCAAATAAAGTGACTACACTAAACATTGAATGGACTTTAGGCCCAAGTTCAGACGAAAAGGTTGTCAAACTCACAATAAACCCTTTCACCTGATGTTCTAAAGAAAGAGACAAATGTTAAATATAAGAACACAAATGGTTAAAGGGAAGGCAAGGGAAGTAAAATAAATTCCATGCAAATACTAATCCAAAGGAAAACAGTATTTTGATATCAGATGAAGTACACTGTTAGATGGTAGTATTGGAAATAAAGAAGGCTAGCTTTATAAAGGAGTGAATTCAATTAGAAGAAGTAATTGTGATGAATTTGGATTTGACCATTAACATGCCGTGAAAAAATATTCATCTATATAAACAGACAATTCTACAGTCCTGGCTAGTGGTTTTAAGTAATTTTCCAAGAAAAGATATGACAAATAAATATTCAGTAGACATAAAGAGATTTGACAGATATAATTAAAACTTTGATTGAATTATCAGAATCAGACTGTGTATTTACACAGAGCAGAACACATGATCTTTTCATATGCTGTGGAAAACTTATCAAAGGAGTTCATGACCACAGGGTAATTTCAGAGGATGGAAGTCATAAAACTTTTCTTTCTCATCTCATTGTAAATAAGCTAGAACTTAAATAATAAGGCAATAAAAGAGAAACCTCCCTGAGTATTTAAAATTAAGCAATATACTTCTAATTAACCATAGGCCAAATTAGAGTGCTAACAGGAAGCTATTCTAAATAAAATGATTATAACAACATGTTATACAAAATTGTGCATATGGAGACATAAGCAAGGGAAACTTACAGCTTTGTTTATTAGAAAAGAAGAAAGTCTGCATATCAAGACAGCAAAAAATAGAAAATAAATCTCAAAGGAGGAAGGCATAGGGAAGTATTAAAATCAAAACAGGAAATAAATTTACTATTTCCAATTGAAAATAAATTTCTATTTCCATTAGAAAAATTAATAGAGCAAAAGGTTTAGAAGAGAAAAAACAAGTCACAGGAGAAGAGATTGATAAGTTTCTCAAAAGAGGAACTTGTCAATAAAAATAATGACAGATAGGAAATTTATTGTATCATTAAAAAAAATGAAAGTGGTGGGCTGG